AGCCGATTGCTTCTATGTTGGGGCCCATTGTTGCAGCCACGGTATCCATCATCTCGTGGAGGGCCTTCTTCTTTTCTGCTGCCCCTCGACGTTACCAGGCATGATGTCCTTCTCCAGGGACTGGTCTCTCCTGACAACATGCCCAAAGTGTGTGAGAGCAAGTCTCAGCATCCTTGCTTCTAAGGAGCACCTGGCTGTACTTCTTCCCAGAGAGCTCTGTTGGTTCTTCCGCAGTCCGTGGTACTTTCGATATAGTTCTGCCTACGTAGCCTTGATTTCCCTTTGTCATGTAACCGAATGTATTCCCAGCTATGCTGGGCGCTTTTGACTGTCTTGGTGGCATCATCAGGAAAGGGCTGGACCATAAACAGCAGAGTTGTTGGTTCAAACCCACCAGCTGCTCCAATGGAGACAAGTGAGGCTGTCTGCTCATGTAAACGAGGTCGCTATGAGTTAGCATCAACTCAATGGCGCTGTGTGTATGTGGAGGGGGCGGGGCATTCTTGTGCCTGCTATGGGTTCATTACACTTCTGTAAATGGTACCATTTACATCTTTAGGTTCTGTTTTGTTGTTGTGACCAAAGAAATGGAGTGGATTTTTATATAGGGATTTTATATTCCATAACCTTTCTCAGTCTAGTCCATCTGAAGGGTTTAGTTCCATGTCTAATGTACACAATGCTATCATTTGTAAATAATGGCAATTTTGTTTCTTCTTTTCTAGCCCTCAGACTTCTATTTGCTCATTTCCCTGACTCCGGGTGCTGGCATGGACCACTGACTGCACGTGGAGTCCAAGAGGAGAGAATGAATATCTTCGCTTTGCTCCTGAACAGTGCGGGTGTGCTCAGAGCATTTCAATAAGAATAAGCTCCACTGCCTTTATTATTATTATTATTATTATTATTATTTAAACTTGGTTGTGAATGGAGCGAAAGTTTACAGAGCTGATCAGTTTTCCATTCAGCCATTCCTACCCATCTTGCTGCAACATAACAGCCCTCACGCCACTCCTGCTTCCAGTCCCCTTCCTCCTCCTGCCCCTGCCCTCCCCCGCCCGTCTAGACTTTCCCCTTGGTACACCCTGCCCTTTGACTCCAGTGGTTGATTGTTCTGAAGAGTGCCGACCCAACGCTACAGTTCCCTTCTACAACTGTCTGCTGCTCCGCTGACGACAGCCACAGGTGCGTTCAGCTCCAGGTATGAAGGGTGACTAAGGGTCAGTCTCGGGCCTCCCACTGTCTCGATCTGGCCGGTGGTAAGCCTGGCGTTTTGTTTTGTTTGGATGATTCTGAGCTTTGTTCCCCACTTCTACTCTATCCAGGACCTCCTAATGGAATCCTTCTCAGCTCCATCAGCAGTGATGGCCGGGCACCATCTGGTTCTGGTCTCAGGGCCATGGAGGCTGAGTTTGCCCTGTCTGTTGGACTGTCTCTCTGTGTCTACGATGTTCTTCCTTCCAGATGAAGTGGGGAAAGATCAATAGCCGCACTGATAGGTCCCCTGTTAGGACGTCTCTTCCAGATCTAGATTTCTCTGAACGCTTTGTTTATTTTTCTTGCTCATTATGCCAGTCAGAACTCTCCAGAGAAACAGTGCCAGGGGGACAAACAAGGGGGACAGGCATGTCTGACATCTGCAGGGCAAGCTAGCATGGTGTCTAGGCTGTAAGCTTCAGGCAGGGTCCTCCTCACTGGGAAAACTCAGGTTTTGCTCTTAAGGCCTTCCGCTGATTGGAGCAGGCCCACCCACAGGCCCAGGGCCATCGACTGACCCTGAAAAGCAACATCTAGACTGGCATTTGGCCAGATGACTGGTCACGACAAACCAGGTCAGATGGGTACAAACCTGACCCTGTACCGCTCCACCGGCTGTTTGCCTAGCCCAGGGCTGGTGGCATGGCGACAGCCCAGAGATGATGGCCAGGATACTGTTGAGGTTGCGTTGTGAGTTTCTGAATACAGAACAACACATGGATGCATGATCCAGCCCAGCGTGGGGCTTTCCTGAGATAGGTGCACAGCTGCTGGTTACAAGGGAGCCCTCAGCCAGAAACCCCGGCCAGGTGCCTGGGTACATTCCTGGACCCCATGATGGACCAGGCATTTATTGAGCACCTACTCTATGCAAGACAGTGCACTGAGCTCTGTCCTGGGACCCCTGTCTACTCGAACTGTCCATTTGACCCCAAACACGGTGCAGATGCTGCCCGGAAGCCTGAGTGGCAGGAAAAGGACCAGTTAGCTGGGCCTCAGGGTAGGAAGTGGCCAGGCCAGGAAACACACCCAGGCCTGCAGCCTTGTGCTCAGTGTTTGCCCACTTGCCCACTGGGTGCTGTGCCCTGAGCACCGGGCCGAGGGCGGAGGCAGACTCCTGGTTTTTCCAACAGAGGGCACTGGGGCCTGGTGGGGTTCCTCCTAGGGCCTGAACACAGGGTTGTGGCCCCCCTGGCAAGGCCCCAGACTGGATGGAAGGGGCGCGGAGGCCTCCCCAGCTGATATGAACACACTGAGAGCCTGGGTACCAGCGCACGACAACTTGCCCACCACCATCTGCCAGGCTCATCGAGAAGAGGCTCAGTCCCAGACTGGAGTCTGCAGGGTGGCCCTGCTCACAGAAAAGAAAGCTCTGGCAGGGTGCCAGGCCCTCAGGGGGGCTCCCCCAGCCCCAGATGTCAGCCAGGGTCCATAGGGTCTATCCTACAGGAAGCTGGGGCAGCACCCCCACCCCGACTCAGTCTGTTTCACTTGGGTCTTGGACACACTGCCACTTCCCACCTCCCCCCAAATCTCTTGGGCAAGCCCCTACATCTACTGTCTCCCCCCCTCAACAAAATCCCTTGGACTTTTCAGAGCCCTGAATTCTCAGGTACAAGCGTCCACCTCTTGGGTACCTCCACCCCGATTGGCTTACAGGTATGGGCTGGAGGTCGGGGACCCCGCAGGGCTGGACACTACCTGAACAGCAGATGCTGGGGGAACTCACACCCTGCTGCCCTCGGGAGCTGCTTGATGGACTCCCAGG